TCGGACGACCCTACACAAAGAAGAGAACAAATGTTAGGTGAAAATCTGGGCTTCGCTTCTACTCACGTTTCTTTCCTATCTTCCTATCCGTTTTCTGCATTAAAAGGAAGTCTGGGTCATTAGAGGTAAAAAGTCTCGTGGGATTGGGTAGGGAATGGGTAGAAGGGGCTTGGAATAAATTGAAGTGACATGACGTCTTTGGTGTACAAAAGCAATTGATAAGATACAACTCCGCCTTAACATGACCTACCTCACGTACACTCGAATCAAAAGAGAAACAACGTCATGGCAGAAACCCGAGGTTCGCATTAGCAAATGTTTTCGAGATTTGGAGGGAATATTTTCCAAGTCTGGCTTTGAAGAAACAGGAAAAAAAAAAAAAAAAAAAAGTACCCTCTAGTACAAGGTAGGCGGCTAATCCACCGGAGGAAAACAAGATGGTGCTATGAAGACACACATTGTAGACAAAAGAGTATTTAACCATTAACAAGAGGCGACAGCCTATGTGTAGTTCTAGAGAGGAGAAGAAGAGATTCTGAGTGCCCCAAAGTTTATTTTGTACAGATGGCTAAGGTATCAGATCATCCCTTGCCATGACAATACCACTTGCACCAGGATGAACAGCCTCATATCATTGTCTGCTATCTCCGAGAATATAGCCCAACTTAAGTGAGGTTCCGGTGTCGCACGGTGGCTCATCCTATAATCTCAGCACTTTGGAGGCCAAGGGTGGGCAGGTCACTGAGCGCAGAAGTCAAGACCAGCGGCTGTCAAACATGTGGGAAGACCGTACTCTTACTAAAATACAAAATAAGCCAGCGTGGGCAATGCCGAAATTGTAATCCCAGCTACTTGGGAGGCTGAGGCAGGAGAATTGCTTGAACCTGGGAGGCAGAGGTTGCAGTGAGCCAAGATCATGCCACTGCACTCCAGCTTGGGTGACAGAACAAGACTCGTGTCTCAAAGTAAATACATACAATAAAATAAAGTGAATGGTTCCATGAATCCGCCCGCCCTAGGATCTACTAAACAAAGAACTTTCTTTGTTAAGGTTTTCCACCGACAATGATTTCAAGAGCGAAGGGAAGTATTCAAAAGTCTACGCTTTGAGGATGCAGAAAAAAACGTACCCTCAGCTCACCTTTGCTCCAGTCCATGAGAGAGGTATGAGGAAAGACGGTAAGCTTCTCTCTTTCAAAGCAAAGGCTTACTGGACTGAGATGTGGGCTGGAGATACAATCCATGATTATAGATGTGGCAAACTGGCTTCTCTCGTGGTAGTCCTGGAGACTATTTTTCCCTATAGCATGGAAGCTAATAACAAATAGAGGCTCAAGAGGTGCAAAGCTTCCGACCCTGTTTAAATCCTCAAATTTCAAGAAAACTCTAGCAGTGTTTACTAAGCTGTATCACCCAGCACTTTAAGAGTTTTTGCCACATTGATGTATTATTTGCTGTTAATTTACTTAGCATTTTTCTTCAAAAGGATTTTAAAAAATTCTTGTCCTAATTAATACTGTATCACTGACATCATGGTTTTGATGTACAAATTATATGTTTTTCTGAAACACTTAAGTCAAATTTATAATAACGAAATTTTAAAATGTTTATCTATGTATCACCTAGAACCACCCAGTGGTATGCATATTATACTTTGAAGAAAAAACTGCTCTAAAAGGGCCAAAGGATAAGTCTGTGTGTCTTAGAGGTATAAAAGTCTCTGGGATTGGGGTAGGGAATGGGGTAGAAGGGGCCTGGAATAAAGTTGTATGGCAGAGGGTACAATGAGAATCCTCCTCATGTATTATCATTTATTTAACAGTATTTCTAGGGTTCCTACTAAGTGTTAGACATTTATCAAGCACCAACAATAGCACTTTCAATATGTGAAAGAGATGAAACAGATTATAAAAGGCCTTGAGAGGCTGGGGGTGTCCGTAATCCCAGCAGTTTGTGAGGCTGGGGCAGGAGGACTGCTGGAGGCCAGGGACTTGACACTAGCCTGAGCAACATAGTGAGATCCTGTCTCTACAAAAATTAATTTTAAAAAATTAACAGGGTGTGGTGGCATGCACCTGTAGTCTGAGCTACTTGGGGGGCTGGAGGAAGGAGGATCGCTTGAGCCAAGGAGTTTAAGGTTGCAGTTAGCTGTGATTGTACCACTGCACTCCAGCCTGGGTAGCAGAGTAGACCCTGTCTGAAAAACGAACAACAATAACAAAACATAAATAACAAAAATAATAATAACAAAATATCAAAAATACCACATTGCCTTAAATATTATTTAAATAAGGGTTTGGATTTTATTCAGTAGGCAGTTTGGACCCAATGAAGAATTTCAGGGCACTGAGTACACATTTGTGATTAGATGCGTAATTGGTGGGTCCTCAGACTTCACCAGCTCATGGTTTTAAGACAAGGTTCATTTCTCCTACTAGCTTTCTCTCCTCAAGCAATTTCTGAGACTCCCTGAAGTATCCTTGCCTTTCCCACCAAGCCATTGTAGTGATTGCTCAACCCCTTTGCCAGCCATCCTCAGTCCAAATAGTCCTGATACCAGAGACCTGGAGTCATATTACACCATCCCTTAACTGGCTTCTTCAGGCTTCTCTGCTCCTGCTATACCTATTTGCCACCACACCCCACCCCATTTTCACCTACTGCTGCTCTTAATTCCGTAAACACTGCACAGCTAAAACCAACCTGTGGTATTAAACAAAACTTCATAGATACACAGAAAAGCTGAAGAACAGCAGATAATGATTTATCTTGCTTTACAAGGGGCTAGTCTTAGGGTCAGCTTCAAATGTGAACTCAGGTCCTTCTACTTCCCAGCAGGTCTCCGGGGCATTACCCATTCTTGGGAACCTCTGGGCCTATATTATCTACACTGTGTCTGCCTAGGTTCCCAATACTCTTGGGCCAAGGAAGAGGAAGAGGATGTTTCCTTCCCCAAAGCCTATTTATTTTCACCTCCAGAATAAATGCGTGCAGACTTCTATTTCCTTCAAGGAAAACTCCACCTACAAAGTATGACTTGAACTTTACAAGCCATATAAAGCAAACATAGTAGTTAATAATAGTACATTTAGCCAAGCCGGAGGTAAATCTTAAATGATACCATATGTAGGATATCAACAGTTCATCTTAAATCTATATTTAAGGGAAAGAATTTCCCTAGGATGTAGAATGTAATCTAGGTTAGAATTTCTCTAATTTTGCAGGGGCACGATCCTGTTGAGTATAGACTCAATTTACATTTCTAAACAGTAATGCCACTGAAGCCAAAGGCGAAGTTTCTTAGCCACACTCTTAGACAAGAGAACAGAAAGCCAGCATACACTCAGAAAGAGTTCATGAGTTAGGAATGAATGCACGTTAATTTAGAGAGTTTCTTAAGTGTCAATATGGTGTCAGACGGAATCATTGAAAGAAGTAGGCTTGAACAAAGAAGGCTCTAAACAGGCAGTGTGTTTTACACTGGGTTTTGATGAAATGAAGGAATCCAAAAATTATAAAATAGGTTGGGAATGGTATTACACGGTCCGAAATCTTTAAAGACCAGCCTTTAAAGGTCCCTTCAAGTGGGTCTCCTTCACATCTCACATTAAGCATCCTTCGAGTACTTCTGAAAAGCCACGTTTACCAGGGTGCCTGTGCTTTGTCGTAGCTTCCAAGAAGTCAGCGAGTGAAAGGCCGATTTCCAAGGTGATTCGGGAACCACTGACACTCGCATCGCTCCTGGAAGAGATGCCCACCAGAACCGCGCCCGGGGAGAGCGCCTTCCGCAACGGGAGGGCTCCGCAGTGGATTATCAAAAAGGCCACGGTCGTAGGGTGAACACAGAACCCTCAGTCCTCCCGCCTCGCTCTCTTGAGACTGAGGGGTCCGCAGAGGTCGCCAACCAAATAAAACCACATTCCTGCTGCTGCGGGCGTGGGCTCCCGAGTCACGGGTCGGGAGGGTCTGGCCGAAGCCTCCGGCGGCTGCGGAAGCAGGAGAGGGCGTGGTTGCGTCCCCGGGAGACGAGGGAGGCCGGGGAGGGCGGGCCTTGGCCCCGAGTGACGGCGCGGCGGCCCAACCGGCGTGAGAGCGCGGGGCCGGCCTTCCTGCAGCCTCTTCCGCTCTCCGGCTGCAGCGCCTGGGACGGTTGCGGTGGGTCTGGGCGTTGGGAAGTCGTCCAAGATGATTAAAAAATTCGACAAGAAGGACGAGGAGTCTGGTACGCGCGGGGCTTCCGAGGCCCACCCTCAGCCGCGGGACGCCCCTTCCCCCGCCCGCCGCCACCTGCTTTCGGGCCGGCGGGGCTGGGGGCGTGGGCGCCGGCGTGCCAGGGGGCCGGAGCTGGAGCCGGCCCCTCCCCTCCCCTCGCGGCCGCCGGGGGCCTGCCCGTAGCCCCTCCCCCAGGCGCCGGAGCCTCCCTTCGGGCCGCGCGCTCCCGCCCCGGCGCCCGCGCGCGCCCCGTTCCTGCTGCGGCGCATCCGCTCCGAGCCGCCTCCGCCCCTTCGCGCAGGCCCCCGGCGGGGGCGAGAGCGTGCGCGCGTCTCCGCGGCCAGGGGTACTGGTAGGGTCGGACCCCGAGTGGGAGCACCCTGTTCCCGGGGCTGGGGTCGACGGCACAGGGTGTGTGTGTGGAGGAACATTCAGGTGCCTGGTACCTTATCGTTTTCCTGGGACCCCTGGCTCTGTCCGGTTCCCCGGGGGCAAGACTGTGCCTTGGGACACAGCTCGTTGAATGCTCAGGCGTCCAGAAGTGACCTGCGTTTTGATACCTGTCTTTGGTCCAGAGCAAATGGGGAAGATGCCAAGCATCCTCAAAAAGAAAAAAATCCCAGTGTTTGGTAGCATCTCCCACGGTGTGAGAGGGGGTTGGGTTAATCAACCTCCACGACCTCTTGAAGGTTTACATGGTCTGCATGATTCTCTGGGAAACTTCGTTTCTGCCTCTCCTTAAGTGTTAGAAACACACAAACTAGTGCTTACCTAAGGAAATCAAAAGCACCCTACCACAATCTCATTAATCTTCGTTGTGGAAATGACACATTTGTAACATTCATGGAAAAAGAGGGCAGGGAAAGAAGACACTCATTTTGGAGAGGGTTGCTGCAAAAGAGAAGTCTCAGCTCTTCGAGTGTGGCAGTGACGGAGCCAGGATCAGAATGATTTCATTCAGTTTGTATGCATATTAGCAATGATTATCACTGTGCCATCCAAGTGTTCACTTACCAAGCATTCAGTACCCTTCTCTGGAAAATACATAAGTTTGTGTAAAACAGCTATTCAGGACATTTTTTTGTTTTATACATAGGTAGTGGCTCAAATCCTTTCCAGCATCTGGAGAAGAGTGCTGTTTTACAGGAGGTATGACTGGGAAGCATTTTGTGCCTTTTCTTTTCTATTCTGTTTTAGAGTGGTGGGCAGCGAATTCCTGGGCTACTGTGATCACAACACCCAAAATAAGGAACGTAACAGAGTTTAGGGAATATAGATTTAAGGGAAAAGGAAGAGGGGTTACTTGTCACACGAGAATTTAGAGCTTATAGAAATGCAAAGACATGAAGACTGTTACAGGTTGGGAATTTTAAATGTAAGAAGAGGTGTTTAGTGGAAGGTTATTGAAATCAGTTATCTGTATTAATGTCATTGTATTAGTATGATGCAGATCAGTATTGTGATCCTTATTTAACTGGTATAGCCCGTAAAGTTGAAGTAGTCAACCTAAGGGAATGAGTTGGAAAGTATAGGATGGAAAATCAAGGCCACATGTAATAATTTATCAGATGCTTTAGTAAATTGAGAACTATAGACCATGTTCTTTGGATACTGTGATTAAAAATAGTCTGTATTAAAGTTGATTCGCTATAATCTATGATAGAAAAGGTAGAAAAATAACAGTGTTTTTTATGTTTTTTCATAGGCTCGTATATTCAATGAAACTCCAATCAATCCAAGAAGATGTTTGCATATTCTTACGAAAATTCTTTACTTACTAAACCAGGTAAATTACTTTTATTTTCCTCAGATAAGTGTGTCCTGGAATAGAAATACTGAAGATTCAATGAAATACTTTCTGGAAAGTGTAAATATTTATTTATTTTAAATTCACTTAATTTTAACATATATAACGTTTGGTTAACAAAATAATATGTAAGACTTGAGTATGAGGACTATGACATATAGGTTGAGTATACCTTATTTGCAGTGCTCGGAACCAGAAGTGTTTTAGATTTCAGATTTTTTTGGATTTTGGAACATTTGCAGAATACATACTGGCTGTTCCTACTCTTAAGTATCCGAAATCCAAAATGCTCCAATGCGTGTCTCCACTGAGTGTTATATTGGCACTCAAAAAGTTTCTGATTTTGGAGCATTTCAGATTTTGGATTTTGAGATTAGAGATGTTTAACCTGTACTTCTTTTTCATTCTTGAGATCCTAAGCTAGTGATGCACGTAGTAGATTCTCAATAAATCCTTTGGTTTCAGTTTAATGAGTACTAGTTAGAACATACTGTTTACATGTGTTTGGAGATCTTCATGTTTTTCTGAAAATACAGTGCAAGATCAGGCAAATTCCAGGTGTTTTCTTTCTTTTGTGTGTAATCATGATGTTTTAAAGCTTTGATTTTTAATATTCAGATTTTATATTTATTATCCCTACCTCACCATTGCTATTAAAATAATTCTGGGCAGTAGCTTAACCATTTTATGTGCCTTGATGTCCTTTTCTCTACATGGGAATTATAATACCTGTTACAGAGTTGTAATGACTAAATGAGATCATTAGTGTAAAGCACTGGGAATAGTACTGAACACATAGTAAGCATTCAGGAATAGTTTTCCTCCCATCATTCAGCAAATATTTATTGCATAGCTGCTGTGTCCTGTGCACTGTTTTAGGTGTTGGGGATATAGCAGACAAAACCAGCAAAAAATATTTGCACTCATGAAATATAGATTCTGCTTGCTACTATTGTTACGAATTTTCTTTTTTTTTTTTGCCCCAGACTTTAAAAAAAAACTCATGTAATGTCTAGGGCCTTAGAAAATATGATTTTGTTTCATGGATTCATATTCCCTCAATAACAGTGGGGAATTGGTTCCAGGACCTCCATTGGATACTAAAGTCCATAGATGCCCAAGTCCTTCATACAAATGGTGTAGTATTTGCATATAACCTACACATATCTTCCCATATATTTTAAGTCATCTCTGTGATTACAATACCTAGATTATAATCTCTAGATTATAATACCTGGTACAATGTTAGTGCTGTGTAAATAGTTGTTGTGCTGTATTGTTTAGGGAATAATGACAAGAAGAAGACATCTGTACATGTTCAGTACAAACCCAGGTTTTTTTTTCCTTGAATATTTTTTTTCAGGTCTGTTATAACTTTATTGATTTTATTTTTGCTTATCTTTTTATTATTATTATTATACTTTAAGTTCTAGGGTACATATGCACAATGTGCAGGTTTGTTACGTATGTATACATGTGCCATGCAGGTGTACTGCACCCATTAACTCGTCATTTACATTAAGTATATCTCCTAATGCTATCCCTCCCCCCTCCCCCCTCCCCACAATAGGACCTGGTGTGTGATGTTCCCCTTCCTGTGTCCAAGTGATCTCATTGTTCAATTCCCACCTATGAGTGAGAACATGCAGTGTTTGGTTTTCTGATCTTGTGATAGTTTGCTGAGAATGATGGTTTCCAGCTGCATCCATGTCCCTACAAAGGACATGAACTCATCCTTTTTTATGGCTGCATAGTATTCCATGGTGTATATGTGCCACATTTTCTTAATCCAGTCTGTCACTGATGGACATTTGGGTTGATTCCAAGTCTTTGCTATTGTGAATAGTGCTGCAATAAACTTACGTGTGCATGTGTCTTTGTAGTAGCATGATTTATAATCCTTTGGGTATATGCCCAGTAATGGGATAGCTGGGTCAAATGGTATTTCTAGTTCTAGACCCTTGAGGAATCGCCACACTGTTTTCCACAATGGTTCAACTAGTTTATAGTCCCACCAACAGTGTAAAAGTGTTCCCATTTCTCCACATCCTCTCCAGCACCTGTTTCCTGATTTTTTAATGATTGCCATTCTAACTGGTGTTAGATGGTATCTCATTGTGGTTTTGATTTGCATTTCTCTGATGGCGAGTGATGATGAGCGTTTTTTCATGTGTCTGTTGGCTGCATAAATGTCTTCTTTTGAGAAGTGTCTGTTCATATCCTTTGCCCACTTTTTTCCTTGAATGTTTTCAATCTGAGGCTGGTTGAATCCACGGATTCAGAACTCATGGTTATGGAGGGCTGACTGGAGGGCTGACTATATGTGTCTATATACGTATAGAGGGACACATAAAACATAAATATATGCCATATACCTCAGGTGGTTTACATATGGTGCTAGGATAACCATGGTTTCCAGTTTGAATTCTAAGAGAATATTTTATCTTTGTTTTGTGACTGAAGACCTCATTCAGAGATTTAATAAAGTTTTCTTGTTTACAAATGAGGACTAAACAAGGAGCACATAGTTTTTTATTTTTTTTATTTTTTTGAGATGGAGTCTCGCTCTGTCACTGGGCTGGAGTGCAGTGGCGTGATCTCGGCTCACTACAAGCTCCACCTCCCTGGTTCAAGCGATTCTCCTACTTTAGCCTCCTGAGTAGCTGGGATTACAGGCGTGTGCCACCGTGCCTGGCTAATTTTTGTATTTTTAGTAGAGACGGGGTTTCACCATATTGGCCAGGTGGGTCTCCAGCTCCTGACCTCAGGTGATCTGCCCACCGCAGCCTCCCAAAGTGCTGGGATTACAGGTGTGAGCTACTGTGCCTGATCATCAAGCACATAGTTTTAAATAAAATGTATCTGTTCACAAACAACATAATCCCTCTGTGTCGTCATATAAGAAACATTTAAAGCATAGTCAATTGGGTTTAACTTTTCGTAGCACACGTTGTGTCCAAGTTGGCTAAATCCATTGTATAAACAAAAGTTCTGAATGGTCAAAGTTGATTGAGAGTAACATGTATTTTTATGTTGGTCATTACCTTTTCCATGAAGCAACTCATGTTGAAACATTTACTTATCTTGATAAGGAAATTACCAAGCACAGCATAAACACAATTAACTATATAAACAAGTTTGGGAACATACATTTTATCTTTGCCTAGTCATTGGTAGAGCTTTATAGAAAGATACTTTTGAATTTCTGTGAGAGTTGACATATCTATGTGTTTTCTGAGTTTCACGTAAAAAAGTAGGATGTAAGGTTTTCCTATATAACTAAAAAACACACAGACTTCTGGGTATTCAGTAAATAGTTATGAAAGAGAGATAAATCTCTTGCTGATGAGCAGGCTGGACACACTAATTTTTTAAGTAAGTATAAACTTACTGTACTTTGTCTTTCATCCTAAACTGTCAGTATTTTTCACCAAAATTTATTCTTATACCTATGGCAAATAGATTGAAGACTAGTTATATTTTATGTGGAATCTGAAGCTCTGAAAAGTGATTGAGTGTAACATATTATTATATAGGATTGCTTTTATTGAAGACATTAAATATTGAAATGGTAATATTTGAGGTAATCTATGATCTGAGATGTTTTGAAATACGTTATCTAACACTTTTTCACTGCTCAGAAAATGTAGTTCCCAGATCAGCAGCATTTGCATCACTTGTTAGAATCACTTGTTAGAAATGTCAAATCTCAGGCCAGGCGCGGTGACTCACGCCTGTAATCCCAGCACTTTGGGAGGTCGAGGCGGGTGGATCACGAGGTCAGGAGTTCAAGACGAGCCTGGCCAACATGGTGAAACCCCGTCTTTACTAAAGACACAAAAAATTAATCAGGCGTGGTGGTGCACGCCTGTAATCCCAGCTAGTTGGGAGGCTGAGGCAGGAGAATCACTTGAACCCGGGAGGCGGATGTTGCAGTGAGCCAAGATTGCGCCATTGCACTCCAACCTGGGCGACAGGGTGAGACTCCATCTCAAAAAAAAAAGAAATGCAAAATCTCAGGCTTTACCACAGAGCCACTGAATCAGAATCTGCATTTTGGCAAGATCCCAGGATGAATTGTCATGCACATTAAAGCATTTGAAGCTCTGATCCAAAGCATGTTTTTAGGGGCTTGAGCCAATATTGAGCTACATAGCAGCCCCTTAAGCCTAGTTTCTTTATACGATGAATCTGGTTCCTGCCCTTTTGGTTGGTCCCCTTCTTGCCACTTTGCTGAGATTCCTAATAGATGGTTCCTTACATTTTAATATTTATTATGCTCCTATGACATGTTAGGCGTTGTGCTGGGCATTAGATTATAGATGTGATCTCTGCTCTTAGGCAGTGTAATAATAACGTCCTATTGTGAGTGCTATAATTTTCTGCCTCCTTGTAAACTACAGTACTTCAGGGAGATTTAAAATAGTTTCTACTAAAAGGTTAGAGACTACTATGCTAGAACTTTTAAGCATGGTATGTGATACTGAATTATTTTAAACAAGGGGGGATAAATGACCATGTGGGTTTATAGATTGAAAGCCAGAAAAATTGCAAAGGCAAAATGTTTACAAAGAGATTTTTTTTCTTGAGTTCTAAAGGATTTTTGCAGAAATAGAAAATCCTGTGTGTGTATGTATACATATATATGAATACATATATTTTAAAGTTTAAAAATTGTTTTAAATTTTACTTAGGGTGAACACTTTGGAACAACGGAAGCTACTGAAGCCTTCTTTGCAATGACGCGATTGTTTCAATCTAATGATGTAAGTCTTTTTAAATTTTTTTTACGATGAGAAAACTCCTTTTATTTATTTTTCCCAGGGAACTAAGAGTGTTCTAAATTAGGGAGTGTTGCTTGAAATGTTTTAAATTATTTGACTGCTTATAAAACTTATAAATGTTCATTATAAGACATGAAAATGGAAGAATTAAAGTATGCAGTTGTAAAACTCTTCCTCTGCAGATCTACTGTGAAGTCATAAAGACTGTTAATACCTAGCTTCTGGCATGACACTGTAAAGGTGGACTGATAAAGAAGTCAGTGCACATAGCTACCACATTTGTCAGTTCTTAGTCAAGTTTCTGGTGGGCCTGGGGTTGCTGTTAGTCAGTGGGGCTGGCAGTTGAGAAGAAGAGATGGATGTGGAGTGGGGAAGGGGAATAAGGAATGGAATAAGGAAAAGGAAAAATGAGTGCAAACTAAACCTGCCTCTCATTACCTTAGACCACCCTGACCTTCAGAACATATGTCTGCTGCTTTTTGTCTGTCTTCTAAGTGTGGTGTACATTTTTCTTTTGCCTAGCCCTAAGGTAGAACCATACAGGGAAGGTAATTCTGGAATATCTATTTTCCAGCTTTCCATTAACATAAATTGGCCAAATCTTGCAGTTTTTTGGTATGTATTGCATATCATCACACGTCAGATTTTGCGTCAGCCCCCAGAACCTCCTGAGATTTGAGTCTTGTTACAGATCTAAATAATGAGAGGTTTTAGGAGTAGATCTTCAGGAAGATCAGCAGTCCCCTGTAATGCAGCTGTGTCAGGGGAGGCCATTATATACTCTATAGGCAAAGGGAGACTAATTTCCTCACATATGGGATAAAGGACTGACGCTTCTACTGGCAAAAGATGTGGCAGAATTTAGGAGTTTGGGGTACTTGGCTTCATCAGAGTCTGCCCGTGTATCCTCATTCCACTTTTCAGGGCCCCATTCCTTGCCAATCAAGGTCCTAACTTTAACATAAGATGTCCTGCAACAGTGTGAATTGAATTTGCATTGTAACTGAGCCACTGCAGGATATGCTTTGTAGAAATCTCAGCCCTGTGGCCACATGATATAAGGCTTTCTTATGAAGGCAGTTAATAGATTTCTGGTCCCTTACCCAGATTTGAGTGGTGCATTTAAAACTCTGAGCTCATAATTTTCTTTTCTTGAGAAAAGAATTCTCCAGTGTACCTAGAAACAACTAATTAACCCATTATACAACTGATTTTTACTAAAATCTTCTATGGCATCATCTACTTAGTTACTCAAAGTTTTGTCTTCTATAGGTCCTTGTCTACAGATGATAATTTTAAATATTTTGCCACTGCATACCATGGACTACTAGTAGCCCCTTTATCATTGGAAACTGGTCATTAATACCTTCAATCAAATCAGAGAAGCAACTTCAGGTTCATATCTTTAAGGTCTTCTTTCCCTTTAACCACTTCCTGTACCAGAAATTCAGGGTTCAAACAGGGAAACAGAACTACTATGAGTATTGTGGAATTAGGTGTTTATTAGAGGAATTAGACTAGAAAACTAGGCAGGTTGAGCTGCTGGAGTGGAGTTCAGAGGGAGGCTGTTACACAAGTCATGGAAGGCTATTGCCTCTTATGTGGCTCTGCTTTTGCTGCCAGGTGTCTTCCCAAGGCTGCTGTTACTCAGAGGGCTGGCGGTTGGGAAGAAAAGCTGGACATGTAGTGGAGAAAAGGAAGCAGAGTAAGAAAGAAACAGAACGAGGACAAACTTTTGAAGCCTGTAGCACAGAGGTTTATATTAAGAAGATGTGAAATTTTTTTTGTAGGAAATGGATTAGGGAAATGTAGGATTGTTCGAAGGGACTAATAGCCTGTTGAAGTTAGGGCTCATGAATTTAAAGTATTACCAGGTAGCATGGTGAATGTTTTTCTCCAACTACAGCCTGCAGGTTAAAGCATTGAAGGCTTAGAGATAGGATTTAATCAGGATTGAAGTTTTGCCAGGCTAGTAAACAGAGGGAGAAGCAAAGAAGTTGAGTGGTTGAAACATCGACTGTGAAATCTTTGGTTAGGAGGGAAGCAAGAACGGGGCTGACAGGGACAGCAAAAAGTTGATAGGATCAGTAGATTGTAGGTCAAGAGAGAGTGAAAAAATTTTGGAGTCAGGAGTGTGAGTGCTTGGAAATGAAATTAGAAAAGGAAGCTGTTACTGTTAGAGGCTGTGGCAGTGGAATTGGGTGATCATTGTAGGGAGGATGGCATCATTGGAGAAGAGGAGGTCAAGGAATGAAGAGGTCAGAGGTTTAGAGATACCATCTGTATGGATATTAAAATCACCAATACTTATTACTGGGATTGTATTGAAGAGACAGTGAAGAAGGTACTGGTATTTTTTAAAAATAGGGGAAGTAACCTGGGTTTAATAGACAACCAGCAATGGTAGCAGGTGACATAATATAAAGGCATAAGCTTCCCCACCTGTAGGCCTCGTGGTATGAGGGTTATGGGAGAGAAAACAGCCGCTGTTTCAGAGGGTTGCCGGAGGATCCCTGGGAGAGAGCCAGGTTTCAGTTAGAGAAAAAGATGGGAACATTCAGAGAAGAGTTTGAGAATATAGGGGATTTTGCTGATGAAAGTGTCAGAGAATATAATGGCGCTGATTAGAAGGATGGAAAATGGAGTGAGACGAGTTGCTATACCCGGATGCAAGGAATAAGTCTGCAGGTTATGAATAATGACCAGAATATTTTAGGCTTTTCGAAGTGACTGAGGTAAGTAGCCATGTACAGCATGATGTGATTAGTTTTAATGGTTCCTTAGGCAAAATACGGAATTGAGGGAGTGATTGTTTTGGGGCAAAGAGAGGTAGAGATTTTGCCAGAAGCATGTGGAGCTCCTTCCATTACCAGCATTCCTTTACCAGAAGGTTGGTATTCTTCTATCGTTGTTTATATTAATACATGAGGATTATGTATGTTTTTTTCTATAATCAATACTTTGCATTTTTGTGTGTCTTTAAGTATAAAAATAACATCTTCATATTATTTTGCAATGTTGTTGTTGTTGTTTTTGAGTTGTCGCCCAGGCTGAAGTGCAGTGGTGTGATCTTGGCTCACTGCAGCCTCCACCTCCTGGGTTCAAGCGATTCTCCTGCCTCAGCCTCCTGAGTAGCTGGGACTACGGGTGCGCGCCATCATGCCTGGCTAATTTTTGTATTTTTAGTAGAGACGGAGTTTCACCATGTTGGCCAGGATGGTCTCGATCTCCTGACCTCGTGATCTGCCCACCTTGGCCTCGCAAAGTACTGGGATTACGGGTGTGAGCCACCACGCCTGGCCTGCAGTGTTTATAATTAATACATTTTTAAGATTTACCTGCTTGTTACATGTAGTTCTACTTTATTTACTTTCACTACTGTATGGAATTCCAATATGTGAATATACAGTAATTCTATTCATCCATTCTCCCATTGGTAGATATAAGTTGTTCCCACATTTTACCTATTACACATGATACTGCACATAATGTTTATGTACAGAGTGAGGCTTTTTCTGGAGTAGATACCTACAAGTGGAATTTCTAGATAATGCTTGTTTTTTGACAGTCATGTCAAATTGATCTGTTAGATTAGAGGTTGTATTAAATTATACAGACACTGCTCCAAATCCTCACCATTTCTTATTGCCAGGCCCAAGTACATGCCATTTGGAAAATATGATATGGCATCTTTTTGTGGTTTTAATTTGCATTTTCATGATCATCGCTGAGGTTGAAACTCTTTTCATATGTTTAATAGTCATTTTGCTTTTGTCTCTGAATTGCCTGTTGATATTCTTTGTTTATTAAATTCCTCCCACTGACCTATAGGTTAAAGTTTTTAAAACCTTTATAGTCTTTTTAAAAATAAGCTCTATTGAATATAACTTATATACAATAAAATTCACCAATTTTAAGTGTACAGTTTAGTGAGTTTTGACCATGTATAGAGTCATGGAACCACTACTGCAGTCATGATATAGAAACTTTTCACCATTCCAGAATATGTCCTTATATCCATTCGTTACTTGTTCCCTCACCCGAACTCTAGCACCTGTTCTACTTTCTGACTACGTAGTTTTGCATTTTCTAGAATTTCATTTAAATCTAATCATATAGTACATAGTCTTGTGTGATTTTTATGTCTTGTTTCTTTCACTTAGCTTATGGCTTTTGTGATCCAATTTCTTATATGTATCAGTACTTAGTTCCTTATTATCACTGAATAGTATTCCATTTTATGGAGATCATCTGAGTGATTTATCTGTTTGAAGTATATGGATTTTGGTTTGTTTCCAGTTTATGGCTATTGTGAATAAAGCTGCTAAAAGTATTCCAGTACAAGTCTTTGTGTGAACCTGTTTCCATTTCTCTTTGATTAATATCTAGGAGTGGTGTTGTCGGATTTGCATTTCCCTAATGATGAGTATCTTAAGCATATTTTCTTTTTTTTTTTGAGACAGAGTCTGGCTCTTTCAGCAGGCTGGAGTGCAGTGGCGCGATCTCGGCTCACCGCAAGCTCCGCTTCTCGGGTTCATGCCATTCTCCTGCCTCAGCCTCTCGAGTAGCTGGGACTACGGGCGCACGCCACCACACCCAGCTAATTTTTGTATTTTTAGTAGAGACGGGGTTTCACCGTGTTGGCCAGGATGGTCTCAATATCTTGACCTCGTGATCTGCCCACCTTGGCCTCCCAAAGTGCTGGGATTGCAGATGTTAAGTCTCAATGCCCAGCCTAAGCATATTTTCATTTACTTATATGTCATCTGTATATCTGCTTTGATGAAGTGTCTGTTAAAATTTGGTACCATTAAAAAAATCAAGTTGTCAGCTGGGCGCGGTAGCTCACGCCTGTAATCTTAGCACTTCGGGAGGCCGAGGCGGGCAGATCATGAGGTCAGGAGTTTGAGACTAGCCTGGCCAACATAGTGAAACCTGTCTCTACTAAAAATACAAAAAATTAGCTGGGCGTGCTGGCAGCC